AAAGATTTTATTTATTCATGAGAGACACAGAGAGAGAGTCAGAGACACGGGCAGAGGAAGAAGCAGGCTCCATGCAGGAAGCCCCATGTGGGACTTGATCCTGGGGCTCCAGGATCACACCCTGGTCCAAAGGCAGGCGCTAAACTGCTGAGCCACCTAGGCTGTCCTCTTTTGTACTTTTTTTATTTCTTATTTGCTGGTCGACCATTGTTTAGTAGCATGCTGTTTAATCTCCATGTACTTGTGGTCTTTCTAGATATTTTTCCAGTGGTCGACTTCAAATTTCATAGCATTGTGGTCAGAAAAGTTTCAAGGTGTAACTTGATATTCTTGTATTTTTTGAGGTTTGTTTTATGGGCTAATATATGGTCTATTCTGGAGAATGTTCCAGGTGCATTTGAAAAGCATGTGTCTTTTGCTCTTTTAGGGTGGAATGTTCTGACTATATCTGTTAAATCCATCTGTTCTGGTGTGTTATTCAAAGCCATTGTTTCCTTGTTGATTTTCTGTTTAGATGATCTATCTATTGATGTTAAGTGGGGTGTTAAAGTCCCCTTGTATTATTGTATTATTATCTATTAGTTCCTTTATGTTTGTTATGAACTGTTTTATGTATTTGGGTGCTTCTATGTTGGGTGCATAAGTATTTACAATTGTTATATCTTCTTGTTGAATTGTCCTCATTATCATAGTATAGTGACCTTCTTTTTCTTTTGTTACAGTCTTTGTTTTAAAGTCTATTTTGTCCCATATAAATATTGCTACTCCAGCTTTGACATACGTTTGCATGATGGGTGTTTCTACATCCCCTGACTTTCAATCCAAAAGTGTCTTTAGATCTAAAATGAGTCCCGTGTAGGCAAGCATACGATGGGTCTTGTTGTTTCATCCATTCTGTCATCCTCTGTCTTTTGATTGGAGCTTGTACTCTATTTATATTCAAAGTAATTATTTATAAATATGTATTTATTACTATTTTATTATATACTTTGTGGTTGTTTCTGAAGATTTTTTCTGATCTTTTTTTGTCTTTTTTTCAGGTTTTGCTGATTTTCTTTAGTGATATATTTATATTCCTTTCCCTTTATTCTTTGCATATTTATTAGTGGTTTTTCACTTGTGTTACCATTAGGTTTGTATATAACCACATCTGCATATGCAGTCTATATTAAATTGATGGTTACTTAAGTTTGAATCCATTCTTTTCACCTGTCATCCCCACGTTTTAGGTATGTGTTATTTATTATATTTTACATCCTTTTTTTTTGTTTTTGGTGAATACCTTGGCTGATTTTTTTTTTTTTTTTACAGAAATATTCACTTTTATTGCTTTTGTTTTTCCTACTTTTATACTGTCACTTTTGGTCTCTCCCTTCCACTCAAAGAGCTTCCTTTGATATTTCTTGCAGGGCTGGTTTAATAGTTATGAACTCCTTTAGTTTTTATTTGTCTGGAAAACTCTTTATCCTTTTATCTTTTTTGAATGATAGCCATGCTGGAAAGAGTATTCTTGGCTGAAGATTTTTCCCATTTAGCACTTTGAATATATCATGCTACTCTTTTCTGGCTTGCAAAGTTTCTGTTTGAAAAACCTTGTGCTAGCCTTATGGGTTTTGTCTTATAAGTTACTGACTTCTTTTGTCTTGCCGCTTTAAAATTTTTTTCTTTATCACTAGATTTTGCCAATTTAATTACAATATGTCTAGGTGTGGGTCTGCTTTTGTTGACTTGGTGGGAGTTCTCTGTGTTTCCTGGAGCTGGTTACCTGTTTCCCTGTCTAGGTGAGGGACGTTTTCATCTACTGTTTCTTCAAATAAATTTTCTGTCCCCTTTTCTCTCTTCTTTTTCTGGTACTTCTAATAATATGAATAATAATTACACTTGATGGAGTCACTGAGTTCCCTAAGTCTATTCTCATTTTTCATAATTCTTTTTTTCTTTTTTGTTCAGCTTGATTTCTTTCCATTTGTCTGTCTTCTGGGTCAGTAATTCATTCCTCTGCTTCTTCCATCCTGCTATTCATTCCATCAAGTGTGTGGAATTTCATTTATTGAACCCTTTATGTTATTCCTTTTCTCTGTGTTATAGGTTTCATTCATGTCTTCCACCCTTTTCTCAAGTCCAGTGAGTATCCTCATGATCATTGCTTTAAATTCTCTATCAGGCATGTTAGTTATAGCTGTTTCACTTAGAAATAAGGCTTTGGCCTTGTCTTATTCTTTCACATGGGGTAAATTTCTCTATCTCCTCATGTTGTATGCCTCTTTGTGTCTGTTTCTCTGTGTTAAGAAAGTCAGCTAGGTCTTCTTCTCTTGAAAGTAGTGACTTAAAAAAAAAAGAAAAAAAAAGAAAGTAGTGACTTTATGAACAAGAGGTCTTGGAGCGCCCTGCAGTGCAGTGTCCCCTGTCTACCAGAAACTGGCACTTCAGGAGAGTATCCTATGTGTGTTACTTATGCCCTGCTTTTGTGTTAGAGTCACTTTTCCTTTCAATGAAGTCATCTGCACTGACTGCACTGACTTTGCCTATTGCTGTCTGCTGTGTTAGTGGGACCCAGGCAGGCCAGCTCTGAGGGTGCAAGACCACTGGGGAATTTGGGATGGGGTGGTGGTGTTAGCAAAATTTGTGCTGGGCCTCTAGTCCCATGCCAGATCCCCAAAGTGGTAAGGCAGCTGGGGGCTGCATGCTAGGGTGGCCAGGATGGAAGGCTGGGTAGGGTGCATGATGATGGCTAGATATGCCTGAGCCTGGCATGAGATGGTTGGCAGCACATGGCTGGGCACTGTGCAGTGGCAGCGTGATGTGAACATTTAACAAAATTTGCCCTGAGCCCTGGGCCGAGGCTAGAAGATTTGGAGTGGGTGAGTCCTCAGGAGAACTTGTGGGCATGGTGTACTACTTGCAGGTTAGGTAGAAAGTCCCTCTTGGGTTTTGATACAAATGTCCTAACAAAATGATCTCTTCAGTATCCTCTAAAGAGGCCAGAAAGTTAAAGGAGACATGCTCATATGTTTCCGTTTCATTGTCTACAGCTGTTTCTTCATTTGTTTCTGATTTTCTAGGAAATCAGATGGGAGGATTGCTGACCAAGCAAGTAGCATGTATAGAGTCTTGGTGAAATCTTATTCATACATTCATTTATTTAATGATAATTTATGCAGAAATAGCAGATGGGGTTTAGAGAATAACTTAAATTTCCCTAGAGGATCTTAGAATGACAAAGGGACAACTCAAGCCAATTAAATAGTAACATAACCAAACTGCTATGTAGACCTGGTTTCTCGAGGTATTAGGTTTTTTAATATCTATGTTTACTGGCAACTACATTTCCTCCTGGCATATTTAACTGAGGAATGCCTTGTATTTGCCCTAATATTCTTATCCACAGAAGCAAGATTCTTGCAGATAATTACTTTGAATAATGCATGGAGGGGGAAGAAGAAAAATTAAGGATCCTGACATGATTTCATATGGCATGCAGAAAATACTTAATGTTACATATCAAAATGACAAATACACAAAGTTCTTAAAGGAACTGTCGCCAACTCATAGCTGTCCTCTCAGAGATGCCTTGGCACTGGTATCAAGGATGTTCTCTTTGGAAGAGAGATGGATATCTATGCCTTCTTTTCCCTCTCTAGGAATCCTATGCAAGGAAAAGGCACATCCATTTTCTCTCCTTTATTCTGTTTCAGGGGACATACAATAGATCCACTTAGGAACCAAGTTGGAGAGGAGACATTGATACTGTTCCCATCATACAAATACATGAATCAACCTCACTCCAAGATTCTACATTAGGTACAAGAATATAAACGATGTATGAAATAGTAAAGGAAAAATAACTGAGTTAAAAAAATGAGATACTTTAAAAATAGAAATAGCTAGGCAGGTTTTTAAAAGCTGCCTCCCGGGGATCCCTGGGTGGCGCAGCAGTTTGGCGCCTGCCTTTGGCCCAGGGCGCGATCCTGGAGACCCGGGATAGAATCCCGCGTCGGGCTCCCCGGTGCATGGAGCCTGCTTCTCCCTCTGCCTGTGTCTCTGCCTCTCTCTCTCTGTGACTATCATAAATAAATACAAAAAAAAAAAAAAAGCTGCCTCCCCTTCCCAAAAAAACCTTTCACAAATCAAAAATATAACTGTTGAGCTTGAAAACTTTTTAAAAAGATTTTATTTATTTATTCATGAGAGACAGAGAGAGAGAGAGAGGGAGAAAGAGAGAGAGAGAGAGGGGCAGAGACACAGGCAGAGGGAGAAGCAGGCTCCTATGCAAGGGGCCCAACGTGGGACTTGATCCCAGGTCTCCAGGATCACACCCTGCAGCACTAAACCACTGCACCACTGGGGCTGCCCATGAGCTTAAAAACTTAATACATGAACAGAGTGGACACAGCTGAAGAAAGAAATTACTGAATTGGAAAAGACCTAAAGTGACATTCTGGACAGCAGCATGGAGAGCTAAGGAAATTGATTATATGAAAGAGTATCAAAGAGAAATGGAGGATAGTCTGAGATGGTCCAGTGTAAATCCAATGATAGAGCAAAAAAGAAAGAACAGAGGGAATAGAGGAAAGACATTATTTGATGAGATGAGAGTTGAGAACTTTCCAGAACAGAGAGAATACATGAATTCACAGATATAGGAAGCAAGACATACACCATTCAGAATAATGTAGACACATTATGGCAAAATGGGAAAAATAAGAATATTTTCAGATAAACAGAGTTTACCACTAATAGACTTCCATTAATGGAACTTCCAAAGAAGGAAATAACCCCAGGAGGAAAGTTCGAGAGGCCCCCCAAATTGGTAAGCCAAATTGGAAAGTTTCTTAGCTTTGGATTTTGTGGTTAAAAGAAATGTAGGGTCCAAGGCAGAGTAACTTTGTTGTGCCTTTTCTGTGGAGGGAACCACCCCTGGATGACCAACAGTTGAAAGTAATGGACACGTACATACTTTGGAGAGAAAGATAACTCACTGCATTTTTATTGCTTTTCAGCATTTCCGATTTAGGTCTGAGGTAATAAGCTGCTGGCACTGAGTTCTCATCACGACAGTACCACTCTTCCAGAAGCTTGGTCTCCAGCTTTGCCTCTACGGCAGCATCCAAAATCATTTCAAATTCCGAGGCTTCAACTTCTCCAGGGATTCGGATGTTCCCATATTTTTCACCTAATAGTCCCTGTGTATCCACAAGAAAGTTCAGGTTAGTGTATCACCAAGAAAGTTCATTTTAGTATTCACATCATGTAGTTCCTCAATAAATATTAAATAGAAACAAGATACATTGTTCCATCACTTTTCTCTTTTAATCACGGTGGATAGTTTTTTCTCATGCATTATTTAATAAGCACAATTAGATCAATTATATTGTAATTATAATAAATTCATATAATGAGAGTTGAGATTGCATATCACATCAGACAAATTCAAAATACAGTTTTGTAGCCAATTTATTTTCCCGAAGCTTACATAATACAACAAAAGCTGTTCTGCTCTGAGATTATTTTTTTGTTTCTTCGTTCGTGACAAAGAAAAACGACATTCTGGGCTCTATGAAATACCACACATGTAAACTCTCAAACAGAAGGATTACTTTGTGAAGAGTTAACAATATATATTCTAAGCCCCAGATTTACGCAGCTACAAATGAAAGAAGTAGGAAATCACTGAATGTGATACTACGAGGGACCCCACTGCAACTAAAAATAATTGAAAATGTAAATAAGATATGTCATTTCCTCCTTATTAAATTGGCAAAACAAACACAAACAAACAAACAAACAAACATGCTCATGTTATGTGAAGGTGTGAGAAGATATCCACACGGTGCTGATGGGTGTGTAAATTGATCCAGTATTTCACTGAAGGGGATTGTGGCAAAATGTATTAAAAACCTTAAAAATCCATATAACTTTGGACTTGGCAACTTTCTTCTGGGAAATTGTCTTTAGAAAATAATTAAGGATGTGCATAAAGACTTACCAGAATATTTATGCTGATACTGTTTTGACAGGAAGGAACTGGCATAACAACCTAAGCGTCCTGCAAAGGGGAGCATTTAGTACACTATGGTGCCTCTATTCAAAGTATGCAGCAAGTCATTTTAGAACTGTATGGGGGTAGAAAGATTTTTTTTTCCTTTTCAAGTTTTTATTCAAATTCCTGTTAGTTAACATACAGCCTAATGTCGGTTTCAGGTGTAGAATTTAGTGATCCATCACTCAATAGGACACCCAGTGCTCACAACAAGTGCACTTTTTAATGCCCATCATCCATCTAGCCCTTCCCCCTGCCCTCTCCCCTCCAGTAACTCTCAGCTTGTTCTCTACAGTTAAGAGTCGGTTTTCTGGTTTGCCTCTCTTTTTTTCTTTTCCCCTCTGTTCATCTGCTTTGTTTCTTAGATTTCACATATGAGTGAAATCATATGGTATTTGTCTTTCTCTGATTGACTTATTTCACTTAGCATAACACTTTATAGCTCCGTCCACATCATTGCAAACGGCAAGTTTTCATTCTTTTTATGGCTTAGTAATATTCCAGTGTGTGTGTGTATGTGTGTGTGTGTGTGTGTGTGTGTGCACCACATCTTGATCCACTCCAGTTGATGGACATTTGGGCTCTTCCATAATTTGGCTGTTGTTGATAATGCTACTATAAACATCAGGGTGCACGTAGCCCTTCAAATCAGTATTTTTGTGTCCTTTGGGTAAGTACCTAGTCGTGCATTTGCTGGGTTGCAGAAGATGTTTATAATACACTATTAAGTAAAAAGGTAAGTTGCAAAACAGTATGTATAAGATGATTCCAATGTTTTATGTATATTATATATATATATATAAAAGAGAGAGAAGATCATGTATATATGTATATACAAACATACACATAAGAAAAATTTTATAAGAATTTATAAGCAAAATTATCAATGGCTATCTTTGGGTTGCTTTAAATTTACTAAGGTTGTTTTATGAATTTATTGGGCTTTCTTTAAGTTTATTTATTCTTAGTGATCTCTACACCCTTGGGCTCGAACTCACAACCCCGACATCAGATCAAGAGTCCCATGCTCCACTGATTGAGCCAGCCAGGTGTCCCTGAATTTATTGCTTTTTTAATTAAAATCTTCTTTGTAGTAGGCATTAGTATCTTATGGTGAGAAAAACAACAGGCATTAAAAAGTTTTCAACCCAGTGATGCTGTCTATACCACTTTGTGGGACAATACTTTCAAGCTTCCTCTAAATGTCTGCTTAAGCCTGTGGTTCTCAAATTGTGGTCCCCAGACCAGCAGCACCTGGGGATTTATCAGGCCTGCAGATTGTCAGGTCCCATCCCAAACTGACTGAGTCAGAAACTCTGGGAGTAGCTCTAAGCAATCAGTGTTTTTTTTCTCAAGCCCTCAAGGTACCTGAACGACTGGGTTAAGCTAATAAAAATATTACCTTATATAGCGTCTGGTATTTCAAATACTCTTCAATGTCTTATCTAGCAGAAACAGGGAAAGGACGTAAAGGAACCCTAAGACAAATCTATGCCATCCAAGACAAGTGTGTCTCCTTTATGGTTTCCATGGGAAGATTTTTCTTTAATCTGTGGGCACCTTCATCCTTACCTCCTGTTGACTTGCATCTTTACTATAAACTTTAAGTCCTGTTTACCCATTGGAATGTGAATCGTGGTTTGGCTTCCTTGGAGCACTTCTTACTACCTCTACCGCCTAAAACTGCAATATCCACAGTGTTTTTTCATCTAATACAGTTAGACGAGAGAATTAAAGTCCTGGGTAGATCTGTATCCAAATAAATTCATAATGTAAACTGTTTTGCAAGATAGTAAGCCCCATAAGTGTTGAGGCCTGAGATGTTGATTCCTAGCACATAGAAAATATATATATATATTTTTAAAAACCTTGTTTGTTAAACAAATGAATGAACCAAGATAGAGGCGAAAACTTTAGACTGTTGTATTCATTTTTAAAAAACTATTTATTTATTTTAGTGATAAAGAGAGAGCACAAATAGGTGGGATAGAGGGAGAGGGAGAGAGAGAATCTCAAGCTGACTCCATGTTGGGTGCAGAGCCCGATGTGGGGCTCAATCTCACGACCCTGAGATCATGAACTAAGCTGAAACCAAGAGTCAGATTCTTAACTGACTGTGCCATTCAGGCATTCCCTAGACTGTTTTATTATTAGCTGCAGCTTCTTGTATTCAGAGATAATATTTCAGCTCTCAACAGGTAGAGCAACAGTTTGGGAAGGTACCAGTCCTATCTGCAACCTTCATTTCAGCCGGTAGTCGTTTAATAAGTCCTGTCTAAACACATCCCTGGTTGGGCCATGCCCTGTGTCCTTGGAACATAATCCATCTCATCTAACTGGCTTACTCAAGCTGATTGTGGCTAACTGAACTTACCTTTTCAAGCTCAAGTCTCCTCACTACTAGCCTCAAAGACCAGGCAGGATGGAGACACAACCTGCTTGTCCTCTTTGGCTGCATAAAGGCCCTTTGGAAAGGCCTTGAATGGAGGGGCACTACCACTTTGGTCTGCATTGTTTCAGCATGGTAAACCACTCTACAGAGGGTTCTCTTGAAATAAGGGCATTCTAAGTCCAACTCACTGTATCAGCCAGAAGACTGAATGACAACACGTTAATTTCAATCTGCATATGTTTTGGGCTATTCTTGACAACAGGCTGTATGCAACAAAAATGATGTTATTTTGAGTTGTTTCTCACTTTCTGTTTTGTCAAGGAATAGCTGACATACAATGTTGCATTAGCTTCAGCTGTGTGGCATAGTGATTCAATATTTGTATACATTACAAAATGGTCACCACAGTAAGTCTGGCTACCATCTGTCACCATACGAAGTTGTTAGAATGTCATTGACTATACACTCTATGTTGTATATCGTATCCCCATTTATTTTGTACCTGGTAGCTTGTACCTCTCAATCTCCTTCACCCATTTCATCCATCTCCCCCCCCTCCCTTCTGGAATCATCATTTTATTCTCACTTTCAATGTTCTTCTTCTAAAACCTCTCATGTGAAACTCAGGTAACTGAACAGGTGCAACCTCTCATCCTGCCACAGATACAAAGGGAGATGAGGCTAGCCAGTCTGAGGATTATCCTATTTCTGTTGGCTAGTTCTGGATGAAAGATAGTCAGCGTCTTCAGTCAGGACTGTCTGGCATGAGGAGTGAGATTTTAGTGCTGGGCGGAGCCATCCAGAAAAGCTATATGGGTAACATAGAGAATAAGAAGACTTCAAAGCAGTAACTGCTGGAGGCATAAAACATGGGTGGAGGATCTGATGGACAGCCAGAGCATTAAACATGGGTCTTAGTAATTGACACTCTCCATCTAGCAGCCAATGAAGCCTAGGGGTATCATGAGCCTAGCTGCCAAGATCCAGGGACAAACTGACTGGATTTGGGGTATGGAGTAGGAAAGGACAAAATAGTGACTTTGCAAAACAAAATTGTATCCTACCACAGGACCGTCATCACTGCACTAACAATTAATTAGCTGCTTGTTCTTTATCTTTCTGCACTAACTGAGGCTGGTCCCAGAGTCCAGGGCAGCATCAGATCTATGGCTCATTTTCTAAAGCATGCATCATGCATTACCTGCACCTGGATTACTCAGGGTGCTTATTAAAATGTAGGTTCTAAGACCACTTCTCAGACCTAAAGAACACTGTGGTTGGCAGCCCAGGTTATGAATTTTAAAATGAGATTACAAATGAATCTAAAATTTGAGAACCACTGCTATGGGCAAAGCCTATGTGGTCTCATGATTAATGGTTAGCAAGCATTGAAGAGGGGCAGGATGGGGAACACAGCAGATCATTATTACAGTTGAAGGCTATTCAAAAATAATTTTTTTTGAGTGGAACCACTGGCACCAAATGCTATAATTATTTGATTGATAGAGTAAGGCAAAATGTATTTTAGAGTAGAAATATGAAACAAGAAAAAATATCCTCATCCAATTCAAATAACAAATCTATATTGAGCACCTACTATATATAAAGTGATAATATAGAACTTCAGAAAAGTAATAATGTGCTACAGGCTTAAAATTTCTTATTGGATTGTTCTCCCCAAGTCTTTTCCTTCTAT